TGACTGAGCCACCCAGGCGCCCTCCAGTATTTTTTTCTAAACATTTAACATTTTATTTTTAGGGGTGCCTGGGTGGCTCAGTCATTAAGCGTCTGCCTTTGGCTCAGGTCATGATCCCAGGGTCCTGGGATCGAGTCTCACATCGGACTCCTGACTCAGCGGGGAGTCTGCTTCTCCCTCTCCCACTCCGCCTGCTTGTGTTCCCTCTCTCGCTGTGTCTCTGTCAAATAAATAAATAAAATCTTTAAAAAAAAAACATTTTATTTTTAATATTAGACTGTAAATTGATATTTTTCTCTTGATGTTCTGTGATTTTTAAACACATGTACATATTCCCATAATCACTATAATTAGGTTACATAGCAATGCTTTCATCCCCCCAAATTCTCGTGTGTTATTCCTTTATAGTTAACCCCCCCATCCATAACTCCTGGCAACCACTGATCTACTCACCATCCTTATATTTTTGTTTTTTGAGAATGTCATGTAAAAGGAATAATGTGGAATGTAACCTTTTGAGATTGGCTTCTTTCACTCACATAGTAGTACCTTTGAAATTCATTCAAGTGTGTATGAATAGTTTCTTTTTATTGCTAGTAGTATTCCATAGTGTGGCTAGACCACAGTATAAACAGTGGTTTGTTTATTTACTTGTTGAAGGACCCCTGGGTTGTTCCCAGTTTTTGCCTATTATGGGTAAAGTTGTTATAAACATTTTTGTATGGGATTTTTCCTCCAATTTTTAGAAATTGTGGTAAAATACATATAACATTTATCACTTTAACTATTTTTAAGTGTACAGTGCATTGGTATTAAATGCACTCATATTGTTTGTGTAACCATCTCCAGAACTCTTCTTCTTGCAAAACTGAAACTCTACCCATTAAACAATAACTTCCCATTTCCCTTTCTTCCCCCATCCTCTGGCAACCACCATTCTCCTTTCTATGGATTTTGGTTATCCTAAGTATCTCATTGAAGTGGATCATACAGTACTTGTCCTTTTGTGATGGGCTTATGTATAGGTTTTTGTGTGAATGTAAGTCTTCACTCCTCCAGGATAAATGTCCAGTGCAGTTGCTGAATTTTGTGATAGTTGCATGTTGAATTTCTTAAGAAACTGCTGACCTTTTCCAGAGTGGCTGTACCATTTTCTTTTCCCACCAGCAATGTTATAGGTCCAGCTGTCTGCGGAGTTTGAATTAAATTTCTGAAAAGGTGACTCTGGTGACTACTGAGTTAGATATTTACCCTTAGAGCAGTCATCATTGGCTGATGTGGAAAATAGTAACTACCACTCCTGTATTCATTCACGTGGATTGGGGTAGAAGTGGAGAGAAGATTGAGCTCTCACAAAAGTAGGCTGGGGTAGAAAACCCAGTAGGTGTCCACTGTGGTAGTGGTGTCCAAACCTGTGTGCATACCAGAATTCATCAGAGGAACTCTTCATAATACACAGTCATGGGTTTCATACAGACCTACTGAATTGGAATCTGTATTTTTAACAAGGGCTCAAGAGAGTTCTCTTAAACAATTCCCACAGCAGTTGGGAATTGTTGTGTTTTGAGATCTATAGTATTTTCAAAATGTAGAAGTTTTTTTTTTTTTTTTTTTTTTTAAAGATTTTATTTATTTATTTGAGAGAGAGTGAGAGAGAGAAAGAGCACAAGAGTGGGGAGCAGGAGAGGGAGAAGCAGACTCCCTGCCGAGCAGGGAGCCCGATGCGGGACTCGATCCCGGGACTCCAGGATCATGACCTGAGCCGAAGGCAGTCGCTTAACCAACTGAGCCACCCAGGCGCCCCAAAATGTAGAAGTTTTAGAAGCATATCATGTACTATAAAATAAATGAAAAATTTCCCTAGCTCTTCTCTTTTCCACTTATCTCTTTCCTTGACCCTATATTTATATTTTTGTACCCTCCCCATACTTAATTCTATTTTTAATTTTCTTTCCCCCATCAAGTTTTCTCTCTGGTTGCTTTCTCTTTCCCTCTCCCTTTTCTTTCCCCCTCTTCTTTTTCATTTGTCTTCTGATAAGTTACTGATTGCTCTTTTATCTGTTCTCACTGGGTCCTGCAATTAAAACTTTCTTTCTCGGTTCCCTCTTCTTCCACCTTGTAAAGTGTTTGGTCTTCAGCATCCAGGGCTCATACCAAGTTATATTTATCCTATTTGGGCAGATAGATCTGAGTCTCTCTCACAGATCATCCTTACCTTTTAATGGCCAGAGTAGAAAACATCTATTAGGGTTTGGTGGAGGAAACTTTAAATTTTATGTTCAAAGATTGAGGTTCTTAAGGATCATTCTTACCAGTCTTTTTTTATTCTCCTCTTATAGGGAAGAAGAGGAACGTTTGAGAAATAAAATTCGAGCTGATCATGAGAAGGCCCTGGAAGAAGCAAAAGAAAAATTAAAAAAGTCAAGGGAGGAAATTCGAGCAGAAATTCAGACAGAGAAAAATAAGGTGGTCCAAGAGATGAAGACAAAAGAGAAGAAGCCACTGCCGCCAGTCCCTATACCAAATCTAATAGGAATAAATGGTGGAGACCCAGAAGATAATGACATAAGAAAGAAAAGGGAAAAAATTAAAGAGGTAATAAAACAGATTTATGATGTGGAGTGGCTATGGTATTTGACTGGATTTAAATATATATGCATTTGCATCATCTATGGTGTCACACTTTGTTCTTGTTTGTTTTGGGGTCATGGTCATAGTTCAGATTCCAAGTTGGCAATAAGGGCTCGAACTTTCTTTCTTAATATGGATTATAGTATCATTGGACACTTAAAATTTTGATATAATGTTGTTTGGATCATTATACCACTCTGTTGAGAGAGCTTTTGATAATCAGCATTTTATAAATAATGTAGAATACATCTGTAAATAATTTATCATTGAATAAGAAATTTCTGGTGTTTAGTTACAAGGGACTCTGCTAGATACTATGCACATCTCCTCATAAACATGCCTCTGAAGAATTAGCATTATATCTGCCATCTTTTGAGGAATAGGTCATGAAACCTTTGACCCATACTGCAGATATCTTCCAGAGTCTCAAAGGATTGAAGAATGGGGAACAATTGACCTCCGAATTCTTTAAATTGTTTAGTCTCAGAAGTCTTTCAATTTGTTATTCTAGGAATTACTTGGAGATAAAGAGAATGCCGGAGTGTGTGTGTGTCGGGGCGGGGTGGAGGGGGTAGGCGGAATTTAGTGAATATTACAGTTAAGTTTTGTTAATTAGAACTGCTGATTCTTGGTAGAGTTTGCCGGTTGTACTGCCTGTGAAGAAAAAGATTTTGTCAGGTTGTAACAGTATCAGCAATGTTTCAAAAGGATTGTTTATCATAAAATAAGAGAGAAGTTTAGTTCAAATAGTTAAATATCTACTTGGATATATTCTAGTAATGAATATGAAAGATTTAGCAGGTACTTTAAGCTTGGCCTTATGAATTATTGTGAGACCTTGACCTTGATGGAATCAAAATAGAGCTGTACTCTGATGTTACCTCAGCTCTGGAGTCTCTTTTATGTGCTGGCTGTTTTCCCAATACATTTCCCAATGTATTGGGAAAACATTGATAGATTTTTTTTTTTTTGAGATGACTGACCTATTTTTTTAGATGTCATTAGAATTTATTGAAATACCTTCTTATGTACATAATAATTCAAGTAACTGTGTGTTTAGGGGACTCCCAAGACCACCCACAGCCTCAGTGATTTGCTAGAAGTATTCTCAGAACTTGGCAAAGCTGTTGTATTCATGGTTTTGGTTTATTACAGCAGTAGCATTCAGATTAAAATTAGTAATAGAAAAGACCCATATGATGGAGTCCAGGAGACACCAGATGCAAGTTTCTAGCTGTCCTCTTCCAGTGGAGTGGTATGGACAGTGCTTAACTCTCCCAGAAGTGATGTGTGGTAAGGAAGTATCACCAACCAGGGAAGTTAACCTGAGCCTTGGTGTCCAGGGTTTTTATTTGAGGTTCATTATGTAGGTGTGGCTGACCTTAGTTCTCCAACACCTCTAAAGATCAGGCTGATACCATGTGGCCCAAGGCCCCCACCATAAATCACACTATATGGGTAAACTGTCTGACGTGGCCCAAGGCTACACTTAAACGAAGATACTCCAAAAGGCAGGATAAGAAGATTTAGTGGTTATTTTCCAGGAGTCTGGCAGAGGCCAAATCTTTTTTTGGGATGTATAGGATTTGGACAACCCAGACCTGGTGAGTTAACCCTTTAGAGCACACCATAATATCCAGTGTTCTTACAAGTCAACACGAAACATATTAAGGCCTCCTGTATAGGCTCCTATTAAACATTATGGTCACTGGCTTAGCACGCAGAGAAAGTTGAAACTTAAGCTCATAGGGGAAGAAGCTAACAAGAGGCAAGGTGATGTGAACTGAAGGATACCTGAAAGTTTGAAGAATTAGAGACATTGTTTACTTCTGAAGGCAGGGGTATAAAATGAAGTTGGAAAGGGATTATTTGAAAATTTTAAAAAGTGCTCTTAACTCCTAGATCCCCAGTTGTCCAGCTTAGGCATCCTAGCTGCTGTCTTCCCTTCCCCAAAAGAAGACTAAAGTGTACTTTTGGAGGGATAAATTGGAGGAGATCTGGATTTGGGGAAAACCAGTTATGGCTGAGGGAAAACACAAAAAAGGTGGTTAGGGTGGAGGGAATTAAGTGAAAAGTGTTCTGAATATTGAGACCACTTTCTCCTGCTCAGCTCTCAGAATTCTTGCAGCCAGGTTTTTATGTTCAGTAAGTGGAAGATGGGAGGACTTCTCTCCAGCGGGACTGGCCCAAGAGAAAAGACCTTCACTGTTCCTCAGTGAAAACCCCTGGGTTTCACCTGTACTCCCTAAGATGAGGCTCAACTCAAGTTTTGCTCATTCACTGGCAGCATTTAATTATCTTGTAAGTGCTTCCCTCTCATGTGAAGAACAAACCAAAGATCACCAGGTGTTTCAGGAAAGTTTCTCACAGCAAAACAGATGAAGAATTCAGGAACTCAGAGAATACAGAAACAATACAGGGAGGACAAAAAAATAACAAAAAAGAATTAACATCATTGGAGTGACAAAAAATGGAACTCATAAAATGAGAACAGTAAGCTATGAAAAAGAACATTTGCAGAATATGAAGGAGCTCTTAGAAATTTAAAAATATGATAGAATTTTAAAATTCAGTAGAAGAATTGGAAGATAAAATTGAGCAAATCTCTCAGTAGAACAAAGAGATGAGCAAACAAAGTAAGATCATTCAGGAACATCTAACAAGTGATTAGATGAGGAAAATAAAGAAGTCAATTTAAGAAAATTGGCTAAACCTAAAGAATGTGAGTTTACAGATTGAAAAAAACCTACCAACAATGAGCAAAAAAAGGAAAAAAAAAAGACTCCTTCTGAAATTTTAGAAAAATAGGCATTCAAAAACGAGCCTAAAAATTTACAGAGGAAAAAAAAGTTTCTACTCAAAAGATGGGATTGTATATAATGGCACCTCAGATTCCTCAACCATAATATTGGAAACTGGAAGAGAGTGGAGCAATGGCTTAGAAAGAATTATATGTTCAGCCAAATTGTGAATCAAATCTGAGGTTAAATTTAGTCATTTTCTCAGATTGCTACTGGAAACTATGCTTCAGCACAAAAATAGGAAGAGAAGAGATTTTGGCAACAAGGGATCTGTCACTAGAGAGAGAAAGGAAGGGCATTCTCAGGACTCTGAATAAGGGACTCAGCAGGGTGACTGCTGTGCTTCAGGCAGAGAGAACAGAAGTTGAGGTTAGAGCAGGAGGGATAGCTTCAGGAAGTTTATATCAGGATAAAATGGAATTGATAGTTTATCTGATGTGTTTGATTATACTGAGACAAGTTTTTGAAGCTCAAGTATAATTTGGAAGTAAATTCAGAATTGTTACATTAAAAACCTAAGTAAACAAAAAGACCCAAGCCCTCAGACAAGTAATTAAAAGCAGGAAAAACAAAAGTTGCCTAAAGTAATATAATAATTATGAGAAAAACTTGTTGTTAATTACATTGGGAGGATGTGGGCCAGGGAAATATATGTGGGGAAGTGTTATGTGGAGGTAGTGGTATAAAAGAGCTAAATTAACTATAGGGGAATATAGTACATACCTAAACCTTTTTTTAAAAATCAAGAAATAGCACTATAAACTCCATTTCAAGATATAGCGATAAATAGAGGAACAGGTGAAGGGTGCCTGGGTGGCTTAGTCGGTTAAACAGCTGCCTTTAGCCCAGGTCATGTCATGATCCCAGGGTCCTGGGATCGAGTCCCATGTAGGGCTCTCTGCTCAGCCGGGAGCCTGCTTCTCCCTTTCTCTCTGCCTGCTGCTCCCCTTGCTTGTGCTCACTTTCTCTCTCTCTCTGCCAAATAAATAAAATCTTTAAAAAAAATTGAGCTTTTTGAGACATGATATGTATAAAATAAAATGTACCTATTTTAAGAGTACTGCTTATTGATGGGTTTTGACAGATGTACATACCTGCATAACAACTATTATCAAAGATGTTTATAATCTCAAACGTTTTTCTTTTGCCCCACTCTGGTCAGTCCACCCGATTCCTTGGTCCCAGGCAACCACTGATCTACTTTTAGTCATTATAGATGAAGTTTGTCTTTTTCAGAGCTTTAGTCAAATGGAATCATAAAGTATGAAAGTGTGTGATATTTTGTTTCTGGGCTTTTGCTCAGCATAATTTTTTTGAGATTCATCTATGTGGATTGCACACAAAGGTAATTTTTTTCTTAATAGTATTCCATTGTATGGGTATACCGTAACTTGTTTTATTTATTCACCTGTTGAACACTTGTTCAACATTTGTTCCAGTTTTTGGCTATAATGAATAAAGTTGCTATGAACAGTTGTGTACAAGTATGTGTGTGGGCACATGATTTAGTTTTAATTTTGACATTTCAGTCTGTGATCTGTTGCCAGTTAATTTTTTGTTTATTGTCTGAAGTAAGGGCTGTGCTTCAGTTTTTGCCCATAGAGCTTTCTAGTTGTTTCAGCATCATTTGTTGAAAAGATTATCCTTTTCTTATTGAATTACCTTGGCATTTGATTCAAAATCAAATGACAAAATCAGTAGGTGTTGAGCCTCTTTCTGGACTCATACCTATTCCATAGCCCTTAATGCCAATAGGACACTGTATTGAATAACTTACAGTAAGCTATGACATCAGGTTAAATCCTCCAGCTTTGTTCTTTTTAAAAATTGTTCTGGCGTTTCTGGGTCCTTTGCCTTTCTAGAATTAGCTTCTTTATGAAAATAGAAGGTTGCTGGAGTTTGGGATTTTACTGAATCTGTAGATGAATTGGGAAGAATTATTAACAATATTCAGTGTTCCATGAACATGTTACATGTTTCCACTTACTTAGGTTTTCTTTAATTTCTCAGCAGTATTTTATATTTCTCGGTATATAATTCTTGTACATATTAATTTATTCTGAAATATTTCATGTTTTTGAAGCTAATATAAATGGAATTATTTTTTAATTTCCATTTCTATTGTTTATTACTAGCATATAGAAATATATTTGATTTTAGTTTTCTGAACTTGTTTCCCTGTTACTTTAATGAAATCATTTACTAATTCTTGTGGAGTTTTCTTTTTTAGATTGCTTAGGATTCTCCTTATACATAGTAATGTGAATAGAGGTACTTTTCCTTTTTGATTTTTATGCCTTTTATTTCTTTTTTTGTATCGTTACACTGGCTAGGACTTCCAGTACATTGTTGAAAATAGGTGGTGAGAATGGACATACTTGATCTCAACTTTAGGGGTTAAGCATTTAGTCTTTTGCCATTAAGTATGATGTTAGCTGTAGGTTTTTTGAAGATCCCCTTTTTTAAAAAGGTTTTAGATGTTTACTTGTAGTTTACTGAGGGTTTTTATCATGAATGGGTGTTGAATCTTGTCAGGTGCTTTGTCTACCTCTATAAAAATGGTTGTATGATGTTTTCCCCTTTATATTATTCTGAATTATATTGATTGGTGTTTGAATGTTAAATTAATCTTCTATGCCTACGTTAAACTGTCCTTGATCATTATGCAGTATCCTCTCTCTATTGCTAGTTTTTGTTAAGGAATTTTGAATCTGTGTTTTTGAGGTATATTGGTTTTCAGTTTCCTTGTAATGTCTTTTTGTCTGGTTTTGGTGTCTGAATAATGCAAACTGCAAAAAAACAAGTTGAGGAATATTTTAATGAATGGTGTACTGTTAATTGAATAGATTTTTGATATACCACAGTCCACTATTAAATAATTCAACTGTTACATAATTAAATACTCCGCTTTTGTGTAGCTTGGAGCTCCTTGGGTTGTAAGAAGTGCAGTTCAAACTAGTTGATATAAAAAATATTTATTAGCTTAGTGGCTCTAAAGTAGGGCGTCAAGCTTGGCTTGGCTAAGACCACATCTTAGATGTTGTTAATAATATGCACCTCTGTCCTTTCGTTGTTTAGTTTCTCCATGTTGGGGGAGTGTTAGCCCCCATCAGCGCCAAGATGATACATTACATAGACCTTGAAATTGCAAATCAAGAGAGTCCCTTCATCTATGCATAAAGGGACTTGATTGCTGCTACTTGAATCACACCTACCTAGTCACTTTGTTTAGGTCAGGGGTTGGCAAAATATAGCCTGCAGGCCAAGTTTTTTTTCTTCTGTTGTGTAGACTGAGGTTAAACATGGTTATGTGTGTTATCACACTGGTACAAATGTTAATAGAATAGTATCCTAATGTAGGAGATACAGGAGAATGGGTAAGGCTATAGTGATAGATGATCTAGATAGATGAAATAACAGTCTGTGAGTAATGTAAATTGATGGATTATAATTTTTCCTTTCTCAGATGATGAAACATGCCTGGGATAATTATAGGATATATGGATGGGGACATAATGAACTCAGACCTATTGCAAGGAAAGGGCACTCCACTAATATATTTGGTAAGTTTACTTCTTATTATACATCCACTACTATATCCGTTTTCTACCTCCATCTTTAAAACAGAATCTAACTTTTTAAGTACTTTATAAAACCTGAGTATTTCTATGTAACAATAATTTGAATTATAATAAGTGTATATATAACATGTACTTTGTTTCTTTTTTTTGCAAGTTTCAGTCAAGATTTAGTGATAGTTGCTTTGGAATATACAGATGATGTGGTAGATTTTCTAATACACACACACACACACACACACACAGATGCTATAGTCATTTATCTGAGTATTTTGAAACTTTTTCTGCATTCTTTTTTCTTTAGTATCAGGGAAGTCCAGTACCTATTTGTAATTTTTCTTCAAACATAGTTCTGATACTGCTTATATTATAGAGGAGGAGGGGATGCAAAAGAAAGCAGTAGTGCTATGTATACATAAAAAAGTCACATGCCCAGGGTGATTTGGTTGGTAAGGTAAGTGGGTTATGTTGTACATTCACAGTTCCAAGGGAAGGATTAATGTGTGTTTGTGGATGGAGGTCTGGGGAAGAGCTGTGTTCACCTTAGTTTGCTCTAACTTTTTACCTCTCCTGAGTTCACTCCACTTGTTAAGGTCAGTTTAAAAAAAGTAAGTTAATTTACTTAGCTTTTACTTAACCGAAGGACAAATCTTGAGAATTATCAAGCTGTTCTTTATCGACCTCACCTCTTTCCCCCATTCTCAATTTTTCTTGATGTGATGAATATCTTTTAAGTAATGATAGGTGAAGGCAAGAAAATACTAATGGGGTAGGAAGGCACACATACTAGCTTTATGTAATGTAGTTATCTTTACTAATTATAATGTGCCACCACAGTAATCTTCATAACATTTTTCTTTGTGATATTTGGAAGAATTTTTCTAATACTTGATTTCTCTTATAATCTGTTCATTGCTTGGTTATTTTTTGTAAAAAATAAAGTGACTGAAAAGATCATTTCTCCCAGGTTTGAGAGATGTTGGGATGGAGGAATAATTTCCTTTAGGTAATCAAAGACACTAGAGATCTTTTAATACAATATTTAAGTTAGTGTCTATCACTTAATGAAATAAAGCATGTTTCCTTAGTAGAGGTTACAGATAGAAAAGTTCCCATTGCTTTGTGGATGCCCCATTATGAGACATTAGTGCAGGAAAATTTATATTTAATGGTTAATTAAAATTAGATCCTCTTTTCAAGTAAATATTTCTTTATATTAAACTCAGTGGTAAACTTGTGAGTCTTTTTAAAGGATTGGAGTATAAATGTGTACTGAAAATAAGAGTTGGATGTTAATTTTCTACTAGCTTTTTTAAACCTTATTTCTCAGAACATCTACTATATTAACATTTATCAAAGAGGTATGGGTCCTAGGGAAGGTAGTAGGTAAATAACATACATTATTTCATTTAATCATTGCAGTGACTGTCTAAGGAAGAGTTGTTTGCTGAATTTAAATTCAGAATATAAATGAGTTTTTAGGTAACTATTTTAGCGAGCAAAAGGGGTATTTCTTTCTTAACTGAATGTTTTGTTAGAATCCTAATGGAGAAGTTTTGACTTAATTTTTTTTCTATTTAAAAACAATAGCTTTGGGGCGCCTGGGTGGCTCAGATGGTTAAACATCTGCCTTCGGCTCAGGTCATGATTCCAGGGTCCTGGGATCGAGCCCCACATCAGGCTCCTGGCTCAGCAGGGAGCCTGCTTCTCCTTCTCCCTCTGCCTCTCTCCCTGCTCATGCTCTCTCTCTCTGTCTCTGTGTCTCAAATGAATAAATAAAAAAAAATCTTTAAAAAAAAATAGCTTTTTTTTTTTAATGAAAGGTGGTTCTAATTTGTGGTAATTTTGTCAGACTTCTTCAGATGTAAACTTTGTAGATCACTCTTTGGTTAGGTTGGTAAATGAGGACTGGGGCATGGCAGGTTCAAATTATTGTCAGGTGAGTTCTTGCCAGCTGGTTATTAGAGCATTTAAGTTGATTTCGTGGGTAAACTGAGAGTTATCAGTGAGATCCTAAAGGTTAAAGGAAGTTAGAGTTGGAAAGGGAGACTTTACAAAATAAGCCCTTTTATTCTGAGTTAACAAGGTACAGAGGCAAGGTTTTGCCAGTGGTCCTCCATTTCAGAGGGATCATCATGTAAATGAAAGCAATTAAGTACATATCAACAAAAAGTTTTACCTTCTTTGCAACCAATCTGGCAAGAGATCAGTAACGTTAGGGATTCTGTAACTTGGTTTATGAATAAGACTATTTTCCTTTAGAACAATAGTCTTATGCACATTAATAGAAACTTCAATAGTATTTGTATAGTTCATATTGCTGTGGACTGAATTGTGTCCCCCATAAATTTATATGTTGAAGCTCTAACCCCTAAGTCATTATATATGTAGATAGAGTAGGAGTTAATAAATGAGGTCATAAGTGTGGGGCCCTAATCTGATAGGGCTGGAGCCCTTAAGAGAAGAGGAAGAGACACTAGAGCTTGCTCTGCCCATGCACATGCACCAAGAAAAGGTCCTATGAGGACATAGTAGGAAGATGGATGTCTACAAGCCTTCACCAAAATCTAGAACCTTGATTTGGACTTTTACAGCCTCCAGAACTATGAGAAAATAAATTTCTGTTGTTTAAGCCTCCTAGTCTGTATATTTCATTATAGCAGCCCAAGCAAAGTAATAAATGTACCATATACTGAGGGCTGGTTTTAGAGATGTATGTGAATGAATTTATTTTGCATTTAAAACAACCCTAAGAGGCAGGTGCTGTGGTTACTGTTTCCATTTTACAGATGAGGAAATTGAAGCACAGTTAGGGTTAACTGTCTTGCCCAAAGTCACCCAGTTAGTGAATGATGGAGCCAAGATTTGAATCCCAGCTGTCTAGTGTCAAGGTCCCTTTTTCTAACCACCATTCCACACTGTTTCAGTAGACTCTTAAGGACAGAAAAACATTAATAGCAGAACACAGGAAAAAATCCATTGTGAGAAGAAAATTCTAGTGAAATGGTAGAAAAAGTGCAAATGCAATCTGTAGAATTTTCAGTAATCAAAATTAGGTGCTTGTATCTTTTATTAAAATTTTTGAGTGGTTATAATTTTTTCCCTCCAAATAAGCTAACTAGGGATGGATCCTTTATTGTTTGTTTTATATTTTTAGATATTAGTTTATTAAAGGATTAATAAACAAAGCTCAAGACTTTGTTTCCCACTTACTCTGTTCTTTTTTGCATCTCATATTCTTGCTAGTGAGTATGATTTGGAAGCTTAAAAAAAAAAAAGGTCTTTTTTTTTTTTTTACTTTTTCGTTGTTTAAACAGAAGAAGTCTAACCAATGGCTGATAGTTCTGAGTGTCTCATTTGACATCCCAAATTCAGTTTGCCTTTACAGAATCAGAATCTTAGAGTTGAAAGGAACTTTAAGTTTAAAAGTCTGGCCTCTATTAAGAACATATAGGCTGGTATTGAACATACAGGAACATACAGGTGAGTATTGAAACTTGTAGTATTTGAGATTATATGGAAAACAACTTAAAATGTGTCCTTTTCCATTTTATTAGCTTTAATTATGAAAAAGATCCTTTAAATGGTAACTGAAATCAGTGTTCCTCTGACTTCTAATAGTTAGCCCTTGGCATTATATGATTCTTTATGTGCAGATAACAGAAAACTTATTTCAAAATGGCTTAAACTGAAAGAAATTTAATCAGTTTAGTGAAGTCCTATCATAGATTGGAGTCCAGCTAAGCTTTTTCTCTATGTCTTTCCTCTGTTTTCCTCTGTGTGTTGGTATCTTCAGACTGACTCCTTAGCAGGATGGCTGCCTCAGCTCGAAGCTTTATATGTTCATATTACCACATCTGTAGAAAAGAGAACACTGTAGAGAAGGGAGTACTTTGGTTTCTTAGAAACTTCATTGAAAGACTCATTGTTTCTTGTTTCTAATTGGCTTTTGTGCCCATCCTCGAACCAAATGCTGTTCCCAGGTGGGTGGTTATATTCCTTTGGTTTTACCTAGTTAAGGCAGACTCCTGGAGCTAGTGAGTGCAAAGAAGGAAATGTTGCTGGACGTAAATTAGCACTGGTATTAATTATTCCAACAGTGATTCATGGAATGAATTCTTTTTACTTAGACATTCTGGAGAATAAAAAGTTTTATTATGGATAGGTCTCTTTGTATTTAAAAGAAGGAATTTTGATTTGGAAAAGAGTGTTACTAACTTTGCAGTGGTTTTTGAAGTATGCTTTTATTTTCAGTACGTGTCTATGTATGTATCTATATGTGTTTGTGTAAATTCTTTTTGCTATTTCCAACTTAACTGGGTTTTGACTTCTAATATTTTGTCAAGGATTTTTGCTTTTATATTTTGCATTATATTTGTCTTGTTTTGATACCAGGGTAATGCTGGCCTCATAAAATGAATTTGGAAGTGTTCTCTGCTCTTCATATTTCTGGAAGAGATAGTTTAACATTGATTTTATTTTCTTCTTTAGTGTTGGTAAAATTCACCAGTGAAGCCATTGGCATCTGGAGATTTTTTTTCTGGGAGGTTTTTAATCTGTAAATTCCGTTTCTCTAGCAGTAAGAACCAATCAGTTTATCTACAATTGACTCTTGAACAATACGGTTGTGAACTGCATGGGTCCACTTATATGTGAGTTTTTTTTGATAAATACAGTATAGTAGTATATATTCTCTTATGACTTTTTTCAAATTTTTATTTAAATTCTGGTTAGCTAACATACAGTGCAATATTGGTTTCATGAGTAGAATTCAGTGATTCATCACTTACATACAACACCCAGTGCTCATCACAAGTGCCCTCCTTAATACCCATCACCCATCTCTAGCCCATTCCCCCACCCACCTCCCTCATCAACTCTTAGATTGTTCTCTATCATTAAGAGTCTTTTATTTTTTTTTAAAAGATTTTATTTATTTATTTGAGACAGAGATAGCAAGAGATAGAGCATGAACAGGGGAGAGA